TGTGTGTGTGTGTGTGTGTGTGTGCATGTGTGTCTGTGTAAGCCATGCTCTGCAGGAAGCTCCTATGAAGCACAGCCTTTTCCTGGTGACATCAAAGCGTGACGCAAGCCGCAGAGGAAAAGTAAAACCCAGACAGCTGAGAGCCGTGACAGCCTGAAGTCATTACAGCAGCGTTAGTTGCATGTGATTGGCCTGATTAATCCTGCCGTTAACAATGATTGGCTGATGGGTGGGCGTGGTTAGAGGGCCAGCAAATCAAGACACCCTGAGTCAATCGGGATGCGAGGAAGAGGAGCCTGACTTACCTCTGCTGAAGCTCTTCCTCCACAGATTTGAGAAGACTCCTGTTTATTGCGAGAAAAGCACAGAAACGTTTCAGAAAATGTTGCTTCTTAATTGGCTTTTTCTATGTGTACAGCTCCTGTTTCATATCCTGAGATATTCATATACAATCTGGCTCTTTGTCCGTGAGTTTCTTCAATCCAGAAAAGTAAAAAAAGTACGACAGATGCAGCTGTAGATGAAAAATTAGGAGAGCAAAAAGACAAAGAGATTCCAATGAGCAGAGATTGATGTTGAGACTCACTTGTTTCCTCCCAGTAGACTTGGTGAATCATGTCCATACTCCAGCTGTAAGTCCTACGAGACAGACAAATGACATTAGAACAGAGACATAACATTTCATCACGGGCTCATTAAAAATAATGTTATGTAATTGGTTTCTCTGAGGCCAGACGGAGCTGAAGCTGAAGTCATGTGCCTCACTTAACTACATTAAAACAGTGTCCACTACTGAAACACTGTTCTAATGCCAAATTACTGCAGTGGCTGTTAGTGCAGCAGCCACAGTGATGGTTAAACAGCTTGATAGAAATAATATTATCCCCATATAACAGCAATTTATTGTTCATAACCACAGACATGACACGGCTGAATACACTGAGCATACGGTTAACTGTATGTGTGAAGTTCACTTTGTGTTTGATTGACTGCATTTCACATTGTGGCCTCATAAATATGTTATTTATACGATGTCAGCTACAACAGCAAATTCATAGTTTTGATAAAGACGATGTTTGACATTTTCAGGTTTGCATATATATTTAAAACAGTTTGAACCTATTATATGAAATTATAGGTGCAAGATAACTGAATAACTGAAGTCAGCCCTAACAACTCGTTTTCTGGATTCAAAAGGAGTCAAATTTTTGAAATTCCTACTTTAAAATCATCATGAAAAGAAAAGTTGCTTTTAAGCCTAGATTTAAATCTACTTTATTACATAATTTGCTTGTGTACTCTGAAGTAAAGATCTGTTTCTACCACAGGCAGTGAGGGAGTTAGTTTAAGGGCTGTAGCTTACGTTAGAGTGAATAACACGCTTGAAAAAACATCCTCTAACCTTTTCACATACTTATCTCTTTCCCTCTTCCCCATGTGGACAAATCAGGAGTTTGCCAGACCTGTTCGTCACTCATGTTAACTTATGACTAGAAAATGGCTGTTTGGTGGCCCCCTTGTTTGTTTTAGTCAAAATAGGCAATCAATATTCAACGTGAAGTATGGTATTTCAAAAAGGCCTTTCTAAAGCTGAACACATTTTCGACAAGCTTGTTGATTCCATGTTGGATTATAAAGTGTTAAGTTCCTGCAGCACATTTCAAACCAGGCTCATTAGGGGGCAGGTTGTCCACGTTTGTGACAAAACGAATGAAACTCTGGTAACAGCCACAATGTGAATGCAGCACTGTGTCACAAAGACATTTTGAAAGATAATGACGTAATACAACAAGCATGCAGAGGGAAACGCACAAACTGCAGAAGAAGAGAGAGACACAAACATTACACAGCCACACACACACAAACACACCCACACGAATAAGGCCTCATTGCTCTGGTCAACTACAGGACGCAAGAGGTTAGAGAACATATAAGCAGAAGTGTGCAGAAGAGAGGCACAATCTGTAGAGAGAAATATGACGAGATATATCGAGAAAACATCAAGAGCAATACAGTAAAATCTAAAAAGGTGATCTTATGTTTATACATTTCTAAATAAAAGCAGAATAAAACCGTAGACTGTAAATAAAGATGGACTACATATTGTGCAAGGATGAAGCCGAAATATCTCAAATACGGGGGCCACCATCTTACGCTTTTCATTCGGAGCCAGAGTCTGCGTGCTGGTGATCATGGAGTGGAGCCGCGGTATTAAGGTTGCTTGACTCATCAAGAGTCATTCTCCGTAGTTAATCTTTCTGTTACACCCTGTTTTATAGCATCAACTAACAAACTAAAACCAAGAAAATTAACATCAGTGACAAAGGACTACCTCAAATGTGACTTTTAAGTGTGGCCATGTCCCATCCAATAACATGGAGGAGGCAGGGTTTGTGATTTATTCTGCAGCCACCAGGAGGCGATAAAGATTATTTGGATTTGTTTATGGGGAGCTGGGATGTCGTCCATCTTTTTCTACTATCTATGGTACAAACCAGTGACTTAATATAAATTTGACTGATTGTAATGTTTTCGTGTTTGTGTATCTGAAAACAACAACAACCACAACAACAACAACACTAAAGACTCCTGTCACCATGACAACTACAACATCAGTTAGTGAGGCAAAAAAAAGAAAAACAAAGGCTGGAAAAAGAAGAACAGAATGAACAGTAACAGATGGAACAAATACGTGAAAAGGAACAAAAATACACGTTGGACATTGAGCAGCCAAAGCAATCAGCACTGTGGAAAATGAAAAAAAAAGAAAAGAGTGAGACAGCATGGGCTTGGAAAGCAAGAGAGCCAAACGAAGGACAAGAGTTTGTCCTTCAGAGACAGAGAAACACAGAGAGTAAGACGGAGGTATAACAGAGGAGGCATAATGTTAAGGTTGAAAGTAAAAAGAAATAAAAGGCCAGTGTAGGTGGACAGAGGGAGACGCCGAAAGAGAGAGAGAGAGAGGGAGAGAGAGAGACGGATAGAAAGAGTACTACCAGATTAGATCTCGCGGTATAGTAGAGCTCCTCAACACAGTCCAGATAGGGCTCAGAATCACACTGGTCAGCAAGACAGAGCGAGAGAGACCTCAGTTAATATATTAACCTGGACCGATGGAGGGAACGGGGGGAGGACACAGTTGCAAGAGTGAGGGTGACGAATGAAAAATGGATTAAGGCCAAAAACGGGCTATGAAGTCCATGGATCAGCAAGACAGAGGCAGAGGTAGATACTGGAATATTAATCTGAAGAGACGAGGGGATGGATGGGAGCTAGATTAAACGGGGTGTGGATGGATGGAGGAATAAATTGCTGTAGATGGGGGTTGAAATTTCAGGAAAACTTGGGAGAGACATTAATAAAAATACATAAATATATAAAAACAGGAGCTATATGAGTATTTCCTTGAATTCAGACCAGATTAATACCTTAATCCATTTTTCTGACGTGTTGTTCTGGATATGTTTTTGTTTAGTACTTAACAGGAAGTTAAACATGCTGAAAATAAATGTAGATGCCACAAAAATGCTAGAGTTGCTAATTAATAATCATTTAGAGAATTGATGACGGAATGATTTATTGATTTTAAAATGCTACACATTGCACCCTGCATATTTAAGAGCTAAAAACTACACTGGTCAGCAAGACCACAGAGAGAGACCCTGTTATCATGTTACTGTGGATGAGAGAGAACCTGAAGGACAAAGGGATGAATGTATGTCGCAGAGGTGAAAATAACCGGAGGGACATCCTGTATGAGGGGAGCAAGGGTTTGATTTTCTCGTGGGAGGATGAAATAAAAAGGGAGTTTGTAGTGAAGGTGCAAACAAAGTGTAGAAAATGTGGAAGGCAGTGAGGGGAAGGAGGATTTTAACCAGACACCGTGATTGTGCATGAGCCCTGCACCACCCCACCATCCCACCTGTCCACCAGTGAACACTTTTTTAACGGAGACATATTTTACTTACATTCAGGTGGACAATTGTAATGACTGTTATTACTTGAAAAGAGTTACATGCTTCCTTTCCTCAACCTGTCCATTGCTGCAGCTCCTCTTTTCAGCCTCTGTCTGAAACACTCGGTTTTAGCTCCTGTCTCTTTAAGAAAATCTACTTAACAAGCAACTGTGGCACAAGTGATACACATTTTCTGACTGAAACTTTCTGCAAATATTGTCCTCTTCCAAAATTAAGCTTATATAAATTAATAACCTTTACACAAAAAAAAAAATTCTAGCTATCTGCTGAAGACCTTAGCGAGTGGATCCTGTCAGATACGTGTCCATCAGTTCCAACTGGTCAGATTCCCTACTGATACTCTACACTCTGGTAGATTCAGAGTGAACTGTGCAGATGTGTTTCCTGTTCAGTTCTACAAACTGACAACAACATGGATTGGTCAGGGTGCTTCCTGTGATTAGGTGAGGATCAGCCATGCCGGTAGTGGTGAGGTGACGACCACACAAACCATATAATCCCACTCACAGACACACACACATTCACATAGAAACATACGACATAGATAATAACTCACCGGCTCATGGTGGGGCTCTGTCTCTTTTCTCAACGGAGGATCAAACTTCACCTGACCGACTGAGAGAGAGAAACACACAGAGGTGAAGATTGTAGGATAAAAACATAGAGTGTGGCTCACTTCTGGGTTTCTAACATTAAAAACACTAAATTTGAATGTGTTCATGTTGTCATTGTGTGTACACTCACAGTTAATCTCAGACAACGTCTTCCCTTCCCTTGTGCTCCTGCTGGTGGAACGAATACGATGAGGAACAGAGACCGGAGACTGTTAGGAAACACACACACACACACACACAGAGACACACGCACACACACACACACACACACACAGTCAAGTGGCTGTTCAAAGAATACACACAGTGTAGCCGTGTGCACGAACTTGAGAAGATTACAATAGCGCTATAAAAAAAAAAAAAGCATTAATCCCACTGCTATTTCCTGTGGGTGGGGTTTGATGACACAGCAAAACAGTCAGCTGCACTCTGCAACCAGGCAACATCAAAAAATAGCAACACAGTCAATGGAAAACACAAACAGTCCCAGGCGACATCAACGTTCCGTGTTTGTGAATATATCCTCATGATTTCCTAACATGATATATGTTAAAGGATCCTCTTAAACTTTGACCATATACTGTATATACTGAGTTTATACTGTAATACTTTACAAATCTGAACTCATTGTCTTTGTGTAGAGCGTAAGCCTTATATCATTATATATTGGACTTTCCTTATAGTGCTATCAAAAATAATATTGCAATAAGTATTCATATTGTTCTATTGCCCAGCCCTATATCTTTTACAAATCAAACCAGTGCTACAATGAGATCCTGCTTATATTGAGAATATAATCACTCTTTGAATTAATATTTGATTTTAAAAATGTAATCTCAAAACACAGCAACCTCAAACCATGCTTGCAGAGTCACTGGGAAAAAACAGACCAAGATTGCACAAAGAAAAATGCATATCTGAAATGCAAAGTTGCAGCGGAGGAGCAACCAACTAGTTTGTAAATTTAGAACCACCTCGTGTCATAAAGTCCATTAACACAACACTCATGGTTAGTAACTGTAATGGAAGAGGAAGATAAAGATGGTTTCCATAACAAACACAACCATAATGCATTCTGTATCCTGTGTTTCTAAAAGACCAAATGAAGAGATGAGGTTTGACTGAAACAAACCAAAAACTAACACACAAACCACACTGTCAACAACTTGTTTTCAAGTACAGTTTGACCTTGTTGTTGTAGCTTGGCTGCATTATCACTCTGCCACACGTTGGAAACCATCTTTATGAACCTGGACACTTGTGTATTTCCCAGCTGCTGTCACAGAACTAGAATGAATTGAGCTAGTGTATAGTGATGGTACTTATTGATCTGCTGTGGTATAATCAACATGGCTGCCAAGGAATCTAAACAATGTTGTCATGGAAAGTGACCATAGTTCTGTACAATGTATGCATGTTAGGTGTGTGTCATTTATGAAGTTGTAGTCTTCATTTCAATGACATAATTCAAATAAATACTAGTAAAACATAATTATAGTGACGATAAATGAATTATAAATTAAATTATAAGTGATTATACATTTCTTTTGTTTGACCAAGAGTCCTAAAACCTAAGATGCCGACTTCATTATCATGTGACAGTAATAATAATGAACATATTGCCAAACTAAGTGCAGATAAAGTTACTCATCAGCTGACTAATCACTGCAGATATAATCTGTAATATTCCATCATTGTTAATTGAGGAAAGTCAAATTGTGTTTGTGTGATTCAGGAGCTGATGTTCACGTTCACTGAAAAGCACAAACGTTAAATGCAAGTGCTCCCTGGCATGTTGACGTAATTATGCAATTGCCATGGTAATCCATCACCGGTCTGAACCTCACATGCCAATGTCAGTTTCCATGACAACACCAGTCGTAGCTCCTCTGAATGGAAATCAACTTTCATTCATTCAGTTCTGTGGATCTCCTCCACGTAAAAAAAACAAAAAAGCAACACAACTGACGCCATGGTTTGTGTTAGAATGAAATCACTTCAGACACCGCAGCCCACGCCGGTACCTTCCTACGGGCTGCAAAACGGGGTGCGCGTCGAGCACCGGGGCTTATGGGTAGGAAATGACCCCTGTACTTAAACTGAGGGGGAGGTTGAGGATAGGGGGGCGGAGACAAGAAGAGAGGAGAGAGAAGTTGGGGAGAGAGGAGGAGAAAAAAAAGATAAGGAGGGAGGAGAAGTGCTGCAAGGAGAAAAAGGAAGAAAGAGGAAGACGAGCAGAAGAAAATAGACGATAAAAGCCAAGAAGTGAAAGAATAAAAGCACAGCGTAAAATAAAGGGAGGAAGAGGAAGGAGGGGGTAGAGGAAGGACAAAGATCAGAAAGATGAGTCACATGTGACAGGGAACGGAGGAACTCTGGCTGAGGTGAGCGAGTGTGAAGTTTATTTACTGAAAGAAAAAAAACTATCAAGGGGACAGAAGAACAATGTTGGAGAGAAGAAACGAAGCGAGATCCTGCAAAGACATGATCATTTCTCTGAGGCCACTTTTATATTTTTTTCCTTTTGAGAAAGCAAAATCTCAAAAGAAGGTCAAAGGTTACCTCAGGTTCAGGGTCGTCATCGTCGAAGTCGTTGAAGGTGCTGTGGTCGGGGTTGTTGGATTTGTCCAAGAGCTCTATTGCCAGTGTTCTGCTGAGTGGCTGCGACACAAAAGGGTGCTGGAACGCCAACAGGAGAGAGACCGATCAGAATGAAATGAGTGAAGCAACAAAAAGTGTTTATGTATGTAAGTGTAAGTGTGAGAAGCTGTGACGGACATTTGGTGGGTCTGGTTGATCCAGTTTATTATTTACTATAGTTTAAATTACACACAGTATGATTTTACCACAAAAACACACTATTTTTGAATCTTTTCTCATCGTTTAGTCTGAAAAATATCTGGAAACATATCCGCCAATATCCACAAACCATAAATCTGACAGGCTCTTGTTTTTAGATAAGATGTCCCGACCTGTTGCCAGAGAATGATGTTATATTTCATAAATAATGTACCACTGAAGCATCTAATGCTTTTTAAATATTTCTTTACATAACATAAATTGTCTAATCTTAGGAATCTTCCACAAATCTGTTTGTGTGATGATGTAGTTTTAATGTCTGACCTGCAGGAGTTTCTCAGCTGTGGGCCTCTTCTTTGGGTTCTTGGTCAGAGCGAGTTTGACAAAATGGTGGAAGTTATTTGTCCTGTTTGTGCAGCAGAGGGAGGACGACAGAGAATTAGAAGAATTGAACTTTCTGCCTTTGTAACCAGAAAGACACGGCTTGGATTAAAGTGAGTAACCTGAATAGTAAATGGAATTAGTTAAGAAAGACAAGTGAGTGACAGGTTGGTCTCTTACCACTTGAGTTTATCTTTCAACTTCGGAGGTTGAAAATTACTCTTGGTCATTAAGAACAGAGCCCTGTGAGGAGAGAGAGGGAGAGGGAGAGAGAGAGAGAGAGAGAGAGAGGATTCAACTTCTAGACTTTACACTGGTGTAATTTCAAATGACAGTGAAACAGACTCAAAAAAAACATTTCACATTCACACACTCTCTCACACACACCTCATGGGGTGCAGGTCAAACATGGGTGGCTGTAGTTCGGCCAACTCTATTGCAGTGATGCCCACAGCCCAGATATCACATAGCTGGTTGTAGCCTCCTTTCCGCTCCACTGCTGCTACCTCTGGAGCCATCCTACAGAGGGAGACAGAAGGACGGTGTGACAATAAAATCCCAAGAAGGAAAGAATGGGAATAAAACATTTGCTCATTTCTATCAAGCACTGAATCAGGTTAATTAAATAGCTACATACAAGAGCAGAACTTTAATTTTTTGAACAGTATTTCCCTGCAGCGGCAGAGAGAGTTCCCACCACGACCCAGTTGTACAACTCTCTGACTTCTCAATGACCCCGTTTTCTGTCGGAATCCCTCTAGGACCCAGAAATACTAATCATTCCTGGTTTGTTCAGGTTCTGAGTAGTAGCGACTACTCTGGTTTCACTTCAGCTGCACTAAAGAAAACTTCAGCTAATGCAATAAATGCATGAAATCCAGAAATGAATGGGATAAACTCATGAAACATGTTGGATGAAAAAAATTCTGGTTTCTTTCTGAGACAAATTCCTTGATTTCATCATGAAAAGGGACTTTACATATTTTCTTTACGTGCATGTAGTTTTAAGGGAGCTAGCAGAGGAAAATAAGCACAACTCACCAATAAGGAGTTCCAATGAATGACTTCCTCTTGGCAAGAGTTGCTGTGATCTGGGCCGATACACCAAAGTCAGCTGGGGGGGGAGAAAAAGGGGTAAGAGAAAAAAAAAGCAGGGAGAAGAGAACAAGAAAGAAGAATGAAATTGGAAATAATAGAGGGGAAGGAGTAAACGAATGAAGGAGGAATGTGGGGGAGAAATAAATCGGAGGGTACGAACAGAAATGATTACACAAAGGGGGAACGACAGAGCGACAGAGGAGCGAAAAAAGGAAACCGAGTGAGTAAATGAGGCCATTCAGATTCAGTCTTTTGAAGCAGAAGGAAATTGCAGAGGCTTTGCATGTTCCTCTCACCTAGTTTAACATAGCCGTTGTCTGTCAGGAGGATGTTGGCTCCCTGTCAGGGGGCAAAACACGCCATGTGTCAGGATACAACAGGAGAAAATCACACCTCACATTCAGGAGATCAAATTTGTTGCAAGGTGGTTTGTTCTTGATTGATGCAGCCTGCAGCCGTGAATCAATACTCATTTCCCTGTCACCAACACCATAAAGTCCTCATGCATCTCCAAAATTATTTGGGGATCAAGTTTAATTTTTAATATTGGTGCAGCATGTGCAGAACACTCACATATACAGGTCTTATGTAACAGCCGGAAATGTTTTTAAACTTGAGACTTAACTCTTTCTCTGGACTTGACTAGAATTCCTAGAATTCCTCAATATTTTGTCCACATCCATTCAACTTATTCCTCATATTAAACACTTAACTCCAAAACTCACCTTGATGTCTCTGTGCATTTTGCCTTTGTTGTGTAGATAGTACAAACCCTGAGGACAGAATCACAGTGACACTGACATTAGTGGCTTGATCTACTTAGAACAACCGGACACAGTGATTTGATCGAAATAAGAACAATAAAAAAAAAAAAATGATTATTTAAAAATATTTGTAAAAGGAAATATTTACATTTTTCAAATAACAATGAAAACTGTATGCCTGGTAGATTGGATTTATTTTGAGTTTGCAGCATTGATCTATCATCTGTTAGTGATCGACTCCAGCTACAGTGCTAACACTTTACAGTTTCTTTTGTAATTACATGCAGCTGTGATGCATAATTTCCATTTCTGTCTCTCAGTATTTATAGTTTGAATCCAGGTTTAAATTTGAATGGAAAATAATTCAACTATTAAATGGATTTTATCAAACACAGTTTGCAAACATCTAAATCAAGGGAGCTCCTGTCGTTAATTATAGCAAGTAGCAGCTCACGTTCATTCATGATTTGGTGTCTATTCTCATCATTTACAGAGAGAAAGACTGAAGCAGCTGCAGCTCAGCAGAGGACCACTCCACTAAAATATTCCTCTCTGTTTATTCTCCACCTCCTAATAAAAAATTAACCATGATATAAATACACTCTATACTCTACCTGCAGGGTCTCACGCGACATGTAGGCTATCTGTGACTCTGACAAAGGCCCGGTTACTGCGGGAGTGAAACAAGGACAGAGAGAAGGAAGGATGATATGATATGATGATATTAAAGAGTTCCAAAAATAAATAAACAACACGGTTAATATCAAAATGTGTGTGTGTTACCGTGATAGATGTCCTGTAGAGACCCTCCTCCACAGTACTCCATACTGATCCATAACTTATCTCTCCTGCACATACACAAAAAAACATCACACACATTTATCTTTAATTTCTCACATACAACAGTTCATCTCAAACACACACTGTAAGCTAAATATTGCAGATGCACACACACACACTTACCGGAGATAACTGCCGAAATAGGCAACAATGTTGGAGTGTTTACAGTCTTTCATCATTATAATCTCCTGCTGGACGACAGCAAAGTCCTCACCTGCAGTGAAAACACACGTTAAACACACAACATTATCATATTAGAATCATAATCTGGTATCTTTACAAAGCAACAGAACAGAGTGGATCTGTATTGAAATGAAGTGTATCCACAGTGCGTGCCTGTGTGTGTCTTTGTGAGGACCATTTTGAGCCTTGAACCTACGGAGTGAGGACATTTTGGCTGCTCCTCACTTCCTGACCCACTTTCATTGAGCTGTTTGAGGGTTAGTCTTGGTTTTACAGTTAGAATTAGGTTAAGGTTAGGGTTAGCTATTTAGTTGTGATGGTTAAGATTAGGGTAAGGGGGCTGGGGAATGCATTATGCCAATGAGTGTCCTCACTAAGATAGGTGTACAAATGTGTGTGTGTGTGTGTGTGTGTGTGTGTATGAGGCTAAATGATGGTGGGCAGACTCATGGCAGACAGCGCAAAAGGATGGAGAGCAGCAGAGCGGGTTTCAACATATTTTCCTTTTTTAAATTCTACATTTGAAGACCTTAATTATTTGGTAGCAGCTAGATGGAAGTTCCGCACTTCCTGTAACTCACAATATTCTGTTTGTTTTCTTTTCATTACTAATATGGGCAGGAACAGAGGATGGAAACCAGCAGAAGGGAGGGAGAGTTAAGTGATAGAAGGAAAAGTATCTATAAGTGTAGGATGGTAAAAAAAAAAAGAGCCTGATGAAGGAAAAAGGCAGAATGGAAAAAAAGATGAGAGGAGGGAGAAAACACAAGATCACAGCCTGGCAAAGTGATTGAGAAGAAAAAAAAGGGGGAGGAAAGAGAAGAAGAACTACTCACCCGGTTCCAGTTTGATGACTTTGATAGCAGCCAGCTCCCCTGTGTTTACGTTACGAGCCTGAAGGAGGGAGACAGAGGAGAGAAGGGGAGTGAGCCGGGTCTTTGAATCAAAGCTCATTCTTGTCAAAGTTATTCATGAGACTTCAACATAGAGCCCTGATATGAGTTGCCATTTTAAAACCAACATTTGCCCTTGGTGGAGAAGAAAAAACTATGACCTGGCACAGTGAATGTTGTTGCGCAAAGAAGTTGAACCTGCTTCAGGTTTTACATCATAGAAGGATGTCATCTGGCAAAGAACCGTTTCAGTCAATCAGATACGTGCTGGTACACATTCACAGTTATTCAAGTAGGAAAAAATAACTAAAAATGTTGCAATAAATTGGCCGATTTACTGGTAGGCCTATTGGAGTTTATCTATCTATATCGCTTGGGCTATAGTGTTTTGATATGAATCATGTTATTATTTCTGTTGGACTGCTGAAAGCGGTTTCTTCTCACGCTTCTGTCATGGCCTCACAAGACAGACTGTGACAAACGCAACCAGAAAAACAAACGTTACCCAAAATGTTATTTGCAGCCAGTTTTGCAGAATCAAAAATATTAGAATTCATTCACAACATTTCAGAGCATAACCTCAGATAAGGCAGGGTGAGAGAGGAACGTATGGCCCACAGCAGGATATCAAAACAGTGTTTCCCTTTATTCCTGAAAAGCTGTGTTTTTGTGTGATGATACAGAGGCTGGATTTCTATAAATAGTGGACCGTGTTTACATTTAGCAGCAGCGGTGCATGTTGGGGCGCTAGTTGAATTCTATATGAAACGTACATTAATAAAACATGGATTTTCACCGGAGGCATGAACTGCTCAGTACTGCAAGGCCAAGAATGTATGAGTATGACTGTGTGACATAGCATAAGTATGTGTGAGAGAATGAGAGTGTGTGTTACAGAGAGAGGGGAGTTTCTATCACAGTAGTTCCTGCTATATTTTCTATTTCTATGGTTTCAGTCCCTCTGGTCTGACAGAAACTCCCCCGTCTACCCTGATCCTGGCTGCAACCTTGCTACCGTATTTACCCAACTTTGCTCCAGAGAAACACACAACATTTTGTGTGGTCAGTTCATTCATCAAAGCTCTATCACTGGAGAACTTTCCCATTTTTTAAATACTTACATCACAACTTTAGCTTTTTTTCCTCCAAATCAAAAATATATAGACTTTTATAGCAAGTGTTTCCATTCTCAGTTGTTTATAATATTGGAATTAAACTCAGAAACACAGAACTAAATTACTTATAATAATAAGTAAGTGTCTTCAACAATTTCTAATGAGGTTAGATTAATGAATTTCAGAAAAATGAGCATTTCACCTTTATTAACAGGATAGTAGGTGTGAATCAGAGAGAGAGAGAATGGGGGAAGTCATGCAGCAAAGGGCCAGGTCGGAACTGAACCTGCCCCACTGCAGGATTCAAGCCTCTGCAAGCAGAGGAGAAGTTTTGACGTAGAACAAATTCAGTATTAGTTTTCTATGTGTTCAATGCAGCGATGCATTATGTGCTAACTGGACTGCAGAGGCAGCTAAAGCAGTGACCACCATTTAAGTGAAAGAAAAAAAGTGGCACAAACAGAAAACCGACTTCCAAAAATGACAGTGAAGGACTGAGGAGACAATAAAAAACACTATATTATTATAGTGTATATATATTAGCAATTTTCCACCCTGTGCAAGAACAGTTTCCTCTCAAGTAAAGAAGCGCAGAGGCAGAGGAGGAAGGATAGAGACACCAAGCCCTTCCAAAACAAAGCCATGACGGGAGGGACGAGATACAAAGAGACGCAAAGAGAAAAGAAGACGAGAGAGGCAGAGACAGTGCGTCTTCAGTCAGCAGACAGACCAGAGATGACTCATAGAGTTCAGAGCTGATGCTACTGGTAACAACCCACAGCCTTACTCCACTTGACTGACTGGTTGTTGTGACTGACTGACTGAATGGCTGAAGCATGCCATCTGGTGTGACTGAGTGGGTGCAGGTTTGAACATCAGTCACCCAAAACGCCTGCTGCACTGAAGTGCCCTCAAGCAACGGCATGAATTCCTCTGTGAAAACCATTACCTCGGCAGGCAAATGCATTCATGCACATTGAAAAGTCGTAAATGAAAGACAGACGTGAGGAAGCCAGTGGAACCAGCACAGTAACAAATGACCCTGTCCTCGTCCGGGCCAAGCAGAGACAACTACCAAGCATTTCAGAAAACTTAACGCACTCAATCAAACTCAACCCACATGACTGGGTGGTTGGTGATGGTGACACAAGGAATAGTGATACAGGTGATGATGAACTGTGCAGGACTTGGAAGTTTTACTTGTTATATTTTCATTTGATAAATCAGGGACTTAAAATAGTCAAACTTTCAATATAAATCCTGGTGCTTAGCAGCATGGATGGATCACTCATCACATCTTCAGGGCCCAAGAGGTCAGGAGGCCTTGAGGTCCAGAGCCTCTCTATGAAGTGACTGTTGACATCTCTTATTGGGAGGTCAATCGAATGACTACAGACAACAACCACAGAGACCCAAAACAATCACACAGATATACAGGGGGACCACCAAGAGACACAACACAACCCAGAGAGGTGCAAAATGGATGAAACAAAGTCCCCAAAGGCCAAAGACATTACAAAATCCAACTAGAAGCAGTGTTTCCAGTTGAAATACCACAAAATCAATTACAAGTTGACACGAAATCAAATGACTATGAACAACACTTTCCACCATTTCACTCTGTGGGTCAGGCTCCTGTGAAGCTGCCTTTTAGATTCCTCAATATCCACCCGTGTCCAACAGTATTTGATACCATGGCACTACTTACGAAATTCTACATAACTTCAAAAGGGGCCGATTAAAAAGAAATGTGCACAAAGTAAGAAACTGTGGAGGAGGGGTTTGCTTCAGTGTTCAGTACCGGCCGATCAGCAGAGGCTTTGTGTTCACTTCTACTCCTCGGTAATGGAGAAACTTAGCTGACATCCCTCATTAACACCTCCATCAGGCAGAGAGAGAGTGTGTGTGTGTGTGTGTGTGTGTGTGTGTGTGTGTGTGTGTGTGTGTGTGTGTGTGTGATTTACTCAGCATATGGTCAGCTCAGTGGAGGATCAGTGTGGCATTTCACTCTCCTCTCTCCGACCATGAAAAACAAACAAGAGTGACCTCAGCAGTAGCTGCTCACCATAATAATCATCCAACTCAGCCTGAGCAGTACAGCAACGAACTAATAGATAAATAAATACGTAAATATGTGTGATTTCATTTCATTTAAACTGAATTATTGTTGATTTCATAGCGGCTCTGACACCGTTTCACAGTATTTACAGTTTCTGCACTTTGCTTGCTCCATTGTGACGCAATCTTGTAAATCAACGTAACCACCATATTGGTGCGTAGCAGCAACTTCACCTAATGCATGTGTGTTTTTGGAGGAAAGAGATCTATGCACAAAATCACAAGTTGCTAAATTTAACAATTCCATTACAGGCCTTACTTTTCATCTGTACAAAAGTTCAGGAATGGCCCTGGGGATTGATTTAGTTTATTGACTAGATTTCAGTTAAGTGGATGGCTTGGAAAACTTGCCTGCTAAACTTCCTGTTGTAATCACAATCTTATGCTGACTTAATATCTCATCGTCAATCTGTCTCTTGACATTTTGAAACCCTGACTAATGGGTTTACACAGTGAAATACACAGTTCCATGTAAGAGCAGCCCAGTGACCAGAGCCTTGTGCTAAAAGTCACTGAGCAGCTCTGCTGCAGTGAGTCTGGGTGTTAAGGCCTCGCCCAGAGCGATAACTGCAACACTGCTTGGCTATTCACTTCTTTTGATGAGATTTTTCCAAGAGATCTGAGGTTTCAAACAGGTGACTTCCCAGCCACACTTCTCTGACCTTTGAGAAAATCAAAGCATTAAACTGTGACAAGCTTCTTACTCAACAAGAAAATGCCCCTTTTCTGATTTTCCTCTTCCCGAAAGGCAAACTATTTCCAGCTCTATATTTTCATTCTTGTCCACCAGAGTTTGTTTTTTTACCAGATTTTTATTGGGTAACTGATGACACATTAGGACTCTACACGCAAACTGCACCATTCACAACCTAATGAGGACACATGCTGCTCGGGTGTCTGTCAAATCAAAGCAGGGGAATCTCTCTTCTTTAAATGCTATCATCTTATCATTCCCTTCTAGGAAGCGAGGGATCAACACTTGCTCTCTTTCACGGCCTGCAACCAAAAAACATTATTAGAATTGAGTTAAAAGAGCAGGATTCAATAGTGTTTTTATCAGAATGGTGAAGGCACAACACTGCAGCTTCTTTTATTAGAAACCTCTTCACAGCTTAACCATTACAAAACACATCCGCCCCAGGAGAAACAGCTGAATGCTAAATATTCAAAAGGTACCTAGTTTAAGTGTGTGTTTACTTTTGTACGTCAGCACAATGCAAAAGAGTTTTAAATATGAAAAAGTGCATGTTTAACGTTCTAATGTGACAGACACCTGTTCAAAAGAGTCAATTATTTGTTAGATATGCGTGGTGACTGACAGTAGCAGCTCCTGTAACTCAGAAGTCAAACCTGCTGAGCAGAAGCTTTCCAGGTCATTTGCAACAGCACAATGCTGTAAATATGCATGTGTCTGCGGGGGGGAGGCTCACAGACTCCTTCACCTGTCACACCATTATTTCTTTTGTGTTGACCCACCATGCAGATAACAGACATACAACTGCATGTTCAGGAGACATTTTCCACAGCAACATTATATCACTGCATACGTTTGGTTAATTGTTTTGCATTAAGTACTGAAGCAAATAGAAGCTACAGGATGTGGTAATGAACTTTATTAAGATGGTGCTTTAAATAGCTGGTCACACCCTGGCTCAAAATAATGTGAACCACACAGGCCCAGTCATTTGTTTACATTGTTAAAATACATTAAGCACTTAGAGCAGGAGATAAACATGTCAGCTGTGATATTAAATGTAGACTATTGATA